TTCCTTCCCCCACTCCCCCTTCCTGCCTCCCCTTCCCTCACACAGAACCTCACCTCCTCCCAGGACTATCCTAGACCCCTGATCAGCTGGGGCAGGGAAGAGCTTTGTGCTCACCTCCCCTGACCCTTTGCTCCCACCTTCCTCAGTCTCTGGAACAGCTCATAGCTGCATCGAGGGAAGATCTGGCCTTGTGCCCAGGCCTGGGGCCCCAGAAGGTAAGAGCTCTTGGAATGGACTTAGGGGTCAGGGGCAGGAGGGGGCCCCAAATAATGGGACCCCAGATCCCAACGTTCTAAGGTTTCAGAAGTCCCACAGTGCCTCTCCTACCAATGGAAAAGAGGGTGGGGACCAGCCCAACCTCACTCAGCCACCTCTGGAGAAAAAGAACTGAAGCCCACTCTGGATATACCAAATAATGGCTCATTTAATGACTAGTTCCTTTCTTTCTCTCCTCCACCCAGGCCCGTAGGCTGTTTGATGTCCTACATGAGCCCTTCTTGAAAGTGCCCCGATGACCTCAGCTGCCAAGGAGGCCCTCTGTGTAATAATAAAGCATGTTCCCGGTCCAGGCTCCTGCTGGCGTGCTGGTCCAACCGCCGGAAGGGGTTCTCTGCTCTCATCTTCTGACAGGCCAGGCGGCCGCCCCAGCTTTTCTTAGCAGCTGTCAGTTTCCCTGGAGGAGGCTGTGCAGGATCCTACTGCAGCTTCTTCTTCTTCTTCTTCTCCTGTCTCACAGGAGCCACCTCCCAAGACTCTGGATTCAGTGGCGGCTCTGACATCTCCTCCTGGGATGCCATCTCTGACCCCCCGCTTTCCTGGCCCCGCTTCTTCCTCTTCTTGGTGGGTGCTGGATCTGCCCTGGCCTCGGGCTCCATCATCTCACCTTGTGGGTCAGTCACCTCAGTCCCTGGCTCTGTCGCTTTGTGCCCTCTTTCTTTCTTCTTTTTCTTCTTGGTGGATGCTGGAGCTGCCTGAGGCTCAAGGTCACCTGGCAGCTCAGGCGCCATCACCTCCTCTTGGGGCTCCACCGCCTCTGTCTTTGGCTCCATCACTGAGTTCTGCCATTTTTCTTTCTTCTTCCTCTTTTTGGTGGATGCCAGCGCTGCCTCGGCCTGGGGCTCAACTTCATGCTGCAGTCCAGGCTCCATCATCTCCCCGTGGAGCTCCAGAGTTCTCACCTCTGGCTCTACAGCCTCAGTCCCTGGCTCCATCGGCACTTTGTACCCCTTTCCTTTCTTCTTTGAGGACAGCAGTGGGATGGCTTCCTCCTGTGGCTCCTCCTTCACCTGTAGCTGAGACTCAACTCTCATCCCCTCCACTGGCTCCGTCCCTTTGGTCCCCTTCTGTCTCTTCCTCTTCTTGGTGGGGGATAGGACTGTCTCTTGCAGAGGCTCAGTTTTCACCACGAGTTCCAGCTCCACAGTCTTTTCTTCTGGCTCCAGTGTCTCTGTTTCTGTCTCTTTAGGCTTCTTTTTCTTCCTCTTGCTGGGGGACGGAAAGGGCACCCCCAGAGGTTCCCACACCACAGCCGTGGGTTCTGCTGCCACTGGCTCCATCACCCCCAGGTCATTTGGATGCTGCTGCTTCCTCTTCTTCTTCCCCACAACCGTCTCTGAGGACCCCAAAGCTGTGTCTGCCTCCAGGGTCCCATGCCCATTCACTGCCTCCTGAGGAACGGAGGCCTCATGCACATGCCTCCTCTTCTTCCTCTTCCCTGAGGCTGGCGACCTCAGTGCCAAGGCTGACCCAGGCCCTGTGACTGGTGGGCTGCCCCCAAAGGCACAGAACCGAGGCCTCAGGCCAGGGGGGATCTGTGGTGGGGGGTTTGCGGGAATGGGATGCAGCGGAATCCCCGATAGGGATTTTGGGGGACCTTCTAAGATCCTTAGGCTGCCCTTGGGGGTTGGGGCACAGGTGAGTCCACCTCCTGCCTCTCCTGAGGGGGCCAGCAGGGTTGATTCTCCAGTTTGGGGGCCGCTGCTGCTGAGGACCCGGTAGCGGTGTCTCTTGCCTGCCACCTTGCCCTTCACGATCTGGGAGCCAGAGAGAGGCACCAGACGCCCATTGAGGCTGAAAGGAGAAAGGGGGAGGGCAGAAACCTGGTCAGATTGTTTTGGTGGCACAGGGAAAGGAGCCGAGAAGCTGCATTTCTAGGTTCTTTAGGTCAAACCCCTCTAAATTTTCCCCAAGTCGAGCCGCTGGAGGGGGTAGTATTCCAGGGAAGTGGCGTGGGACCACTCACCTGTCCGGGGCGAAGTCTACAGGGGCCCGGATAAGCCACAGTTCCGTATCGGGGCCCGTCAGCGCCTCCAAGGAGAAACGAGTGGGCTCTGAGGATGGAGGCGTCGCGGTAAAACTGGGGGGACAAGAGAACCGAGCAGCACCTGCAGAAGGGGAAACGGGCCTGCTGACACTTTCCTGCCAGTGCAGTCCTCCAGGGCGCCTACGGGTCCACTGGTCCCAGCCTCTTGAGCCCCACAATGGCCTCACCCGGTCTCTCCAAAGTTCTGTTCCGCAGAGACCCTCTGTCTCCAACTCCTAGGGAAGCTCTTGTCTCCACCGGTAGTCCTCCCAAGATATCCTTTCTCAGTCCGACA